GAATCAAATATGTATCTTTATTCATTTACAATAAACTCATAAAGTACATCATTCTGATTGAAGCTAAGGGCATACAAAACTGTCTAACAGAATCTCCTTTAACTCAAAAAGATTTAACAAATTCATTAAATTTCCTCTTGCTAGTTCTAACAAGGCAATGAGAGTTGTTGGATTCATTGTAGAATCTAATGACATTAAAATCTCCCCTCAAACACCAGGGACCATCCCATAATCCTTGTATTCCATACAACTCTTCCCACATTTCATTCCTCTTTCTATAGGTTTTTAGCCCGTACATGTTAGTTAAATTTCCTCTTGCTAGTTTTAACAAGGCAATGAGAGTTGTTGGATTCATTGTAGAATCTAATGACATTAAAATCTCCCCTCAAACACCAGGGACCATCCCATAATCCTTGCATTCCATACAACTCTTCCCACATTTAATTCCTCTTTCTATAGCTTTTTAGCCCATGCATCTTAGTTAACATCCAAATAAACCCATCTTCCAGATTTTTGAACTTTAAGGACACAAAGTACCTTCCTATAAGTTCCTCCGATGATTCCACAACATCCTCCCTCCATAAAGTAACCATTCCACCTAAAGCTCCCCAAGATGGAGCCGAAGTCCAGCACACTCTTGATCTCCACACACTTTTCATCCATTTTCTATCTAATTCTGCTAGCTTGATTTCTTGCAACATCACTATATCAGGCTTCTCTCTCCTCAAGTGGTCCTTAATTGCCCTCCTTTTCCTTGCACTCCCCAAACCCCTCACATTTCAACTAATAATTTTCATTGATCACACTTTCAGTTGACCCTATGTTATCATAGGAAATTCCTTGGGAGCTTTTCTACTAAATTCAATGTCTCCCTCAATATCAGAAATTAATCTCTCCACCTCCGATATCTTTTTCCTTTTTGTTTTAATTGATAAAACTAATGATGGATTAAATGTAACATTGTTTTAATTAATTAAACTAATGACGGATTAAATGCAAAATTAAGCTCATGGACAAATGCCTTAGAAACAAGAGGGGTTTTAAAATAAGTTGGACCAAAACAGAGTAGGAGTGAATTAGGATACACTTAGGATTGGGGACCCAGAGATAACTCAACTCAATGTGACCATTTCCAGAACCTTGGTTCAATAATTCATAACAAGGGAGAGATTGAGGATGTAGAGCAGGTTGGGGAAAATGGAGGGGTGCATCTGAGCTTTTGTGTGATAGGCGAAAGACCACTTAGATTAAAAGGAAAATTCTAAAAACCAGTTGTATGGCCAGCTATATTGTATGGAGCAAAGTGTTGGGCAGTCAAGAAACATGTCCAAAAAATGAGTGTGGCAAAAGTGTGAATGCTAAGATTGATGAGTGGAAAAACTAGAAAGGATAGGATCAGGAATGAAGTCATCTGTAGGAACCTAGGAGTAGCTCCAATAGGTGGTAAAATGAGTGAGAGTAGACTAAGATTGTTTGGTCACATCTCACATGCATAGAAGGTCACCATCGGTTCCAGCTAGAAGTTTTTATTACAAGTGGAAGGGGCTAGAGGAGCTAGAGGTAGATAAAAAAGAAATGGGTAGTAGTAAGAAATGACTTAAGCACTAATAATTTAACAGTGGATATCCTTTAAATAGAATGGATTGACAAAACAGGATTCATGTAGCCAACCCCATATAGTTGGGATAAGGCATGGAAAGTAATCCATTTTATACATTAATTTTAGGTTTACCATGATCTTTTTAAGATAAAAGTCTTAGTAGAGGTATGGGGATTCATTGCTTTTTCAATAGGCATAGCTGTTTGGTTACAACTTTGATAGGAAAAATTAAGTGATCGTTGGTATCCACTGTTTCATTTTGAAGGATTTCCAGGGTCTGAATGCTGATAATTTTAGAAGAGAACTAGAGCAAATTGTTTCTGATCCAGCCTTGTATATAAGACACTTGATCCACATGATTTATACAGTTCAGTCTCATAAATCATGTAAAGCCCATTGATATAAGTTTTTGACTTTTTGATATAATACAATACTGACCTCTTTAATTATGAAAAAAGTGACAGTCTAGCAAACCTTTGTAAAGTTAATAAATATTGTAACATTATACTTTTCTTAATAATTTTTCTTGCATTTGTTTTTGTGAATATTGATGGTAATGATGGGTTATATTTAAGAATTTTTATTCCCAAGATTTTCAGGAAATATTAATCCTTGATAAAGTATATTTTTTGACTTAAATATTTCTTTCTATAAGTTAGGTGCCTCACTAAGTTTATTTTATTTTATTCTGTTGAAAAACTTTCTTACAATGTACTGATGTTCTATTGATATTCTGATGTATGCAGAACTAAAATATATTCCATCTGTCATATTAAGAAATATTTAATATTTGCAATATATTCTCCCAACCCTGGATCTACCTAGAGATTCTTCCACCGAAAGTTCATATGATTGAGATTTTTAATAAAAAGAAAGAAAGAAGGTCCAGCCATCTCTCTCTCTCTCTCTCTCTCTATATATATATATATATATAATCCGTCTCTTTCTCTTAATATGCTTATCTTGGGGCAATTTTTTTATCACTTTTTTTTCTGTTTATTTTTCTTATTCCAGACCTCCTTTGTGGTATATTTGGAACTCTTTTTTCCCCTCCATTTTTATATATGCATGTATTCCCAAGCATTATCTCTGCTTATTGCAGATTGATTAAGTACTGTTACATCCATCTGCATGAGCAGTTCTATCATTTCTGAAGCTATAACCTGAGTCATTATTCATTCTTGGTTAATGTGTTGTTGCAGTACTATTATTCTCTCATTCTGACCTTTCCTTTTCCTTGTTTCAGGTTGTTAATGACTTGTTGAATCCAGCAGGGCAGAACCTAAGAATAAGAGAGGACCTTCAGGTGCCAGTCTTTCATTTTATATTTCAAACTAGAGGTTCAGTACTTTTCCCAAAATACATCTAGCCCGTTTGTTCTCAATTGCTTTTTTTTTTATTTTTAATACCTTTCAGAATAATTATATTTATCAAATTCTGTTATGAACTTATGCATTACCTGGACATTGCATATCAAAAAAAAAAAAAAAAGAAAAAAACTTACGCACTACCTAGACATTTTACCTGTAACAAGGATGAGGCAGCGTATGCAAAAATAGGTACTGACTGGCATACTGCATGTGATTTGGATGTCCAACAGCCTAACTCCCCAAACTTCTGAAAGGGAAAGCTCTTCAGAATAGGAAATTCTTGTGTATAAGGTTTGAGTTTTGAGTAAGAAAATAAGGGCAGAGTATGAACCAAAATTTTAAATAAGTCGGCCAATTCTTTGCAGAAAGCACAACATGGAAGGCCCAGGTTCCCCAAGAAGCAGGCCAATAAATTTGAGTGCAATATTGCAATGGTGCTAATGGGAGGGAAGGGGGGGGGGGGTGAGGTGAGGATTAGGTCTGCACAGTTTACTGGAGAGCCAAAGGGATTAACCATTTTTTTTGATAGATGCCAAAGGGATTAACCATCATCATTTGTGAATATTCAGGTTTGTGGGTTCTTGGTACTCCAAGTGAACAGAGCAACTATCACTATTACAAGGATTTATTTTCTTTATATCCATGGGCTATGAGGGTCTCATTAGCCATTATTCCATGTGGCTCCCGCCTCCCATATTGTTATTGGTTGGAGAATAGATAAACCTAGCGGCGGGGGTTAACTATTAGATAAGAGAGGAATGGCTTCCAAGTTCTAGACAGATTATGCCCCTTGCTCAGATGGATGTATCGGCCAATCTGATTGTAGGAAGTGAACAGAAGTGAGCATTTTTTGGTTGTTGAAGGGAGGAGGGGGCACTAACATGCCATTATAGTTGCATTGTTCATTTGGGAATTAAGAGATGAATTTAAGTGGGTTAAATGGCTCACCAGAAACTTAACAGTGGTGTTTCAATGGGAGAGGAGATCGGCCAAAGGACTGGCTGACTCTCTATTCAAACAGGAGGTTTATAGGGATCACTTATCTTGGGCTCAAATGTAACTTGTACCTTTTCTTTTTCTATTTCTGGATGAGGTGATCCTCACACCTCTCCCTGGGATGTTTGTACTGATGAATATGAACTCGTTACTGATCAGAAAAATATGTTTAATTATGGTGCCTATTGTTTGGGCATGGCTTGCCCAAACACTTTTCAAACCTCAAGTGGCTTGCCTTATATTGTTACTTACTGATACTTACTATGAACTTGTTGCTGATCCAAAAGGGATAAAAAAAATCATTTCATTCCATGTTCCATGAATTAAATGGCATGACTGTAAGGTTGGGTAAGAAGAATGGTCATATTCATTTAAATTTTAAAATTAGAAATCAATAATACAATAAAGGAAGGTTTAGGGAATTATATCTGATTGATGGATACCACTCATGAACTGTTGTTCCTTAGGCTTTGTGGAGGTGTTATTTGTTATCTGTCTGTGCTGGTTACAGGGAACCTACGTTGAAGGGATAAAGGAAGAAGTTGTATTATCCCCTGCACATGCCCTGTCACTTATAGCAGCTGGCGAAGGTAAAAATTTTGCTTATTTTTTGAATACTTCACTATATTTATATTGTATGCATGCCATTCTTTCTTTTTTTTTTTTTTTTTTCTATTTTTTTGAAGGGGAGGTATATGGGGGTTGTTAAGATTGTGAAGCACAGTATCTCAACTTTATCAGAGGGAGGGGGAAGAGGGGATGAATGGTTTCTAAAATATGTACGATTATGTCCATTTTAATGTTTCTTTTATATGATTTATTTTATGAGTTTTCAGTACATTCTTCAGGTTTTGTGCTTATGAAGATTGATTTTCTGATTTGTGCTGTGTTTCATTGAGACCAAAGAATCTCTCATTGTGGAGTTGACGTTTTCTTTTACCTTTTCCAGAGTTGGTCATGTGGTACTTTTAAATGCCTTATTGATATAAGAGGTAGGGCTGGGCTTTAAGAATTGTACAAATGGTAAAACCATAAAACTTATGGAAAAGGTGCTGGAACTCAATGGAAATAGTTGGATGTTTCTAATGGGTTTCTATGTATATGTATATATATGTATATGTATATGTATATGTATATGTATATGTATATGTATATGTATATGTATATGTATATGTATATGTATATGTATATGTACATATACATACATATATATGTATATATATATATATATATCTATATATCTAGGTATTTCAAATTCAAGAATATTAAAACATCTTTTGTGTTAATAAGATTTGGATCTGAACCCAAATACTATTTGGTGTAGTGGGAGGCTCATTAATGGACAATGATGCATGTGTGCCTTTTTTAACATTTAGAATTTCAGCTTCTTGTTACTAACTTACTATCAATTTTGTCTTTCATAAATGTCMAAGTGTTAAAAACTGAAATAGAATATTCTATTTGTTATTTTGTATAACTAATAAGTTTGTAAGCTAAACTTGGACAAGAGTTTGTATACTCGAGATTTCTTGGGTCATCAATGATATATATACAGATCATCAATGATATATTGTTATCATGCCTCTTACTTTACTTTTGCATTTGCTTATGGTTATTAATGATCAAATTTTACTTTTATTATTGACAACAGAGCATAGACATGTGGGATCCACGAATTTTAATTTATTCAGCAGCAGAAGCCATACTATATTCACACTGGTATTGTAACATCGGTCACTATCATACTTTCTGCAAAACTTTTATACAAGCATGTATATACACATGAATGATAGGAGGAACTGTCTGAGTGATAAAATCATTCCAATCCCAGGCTAGAGGGTCTTGTGGCCTGCCCAGCAATCAATTTTCCCCATAGTTTTAAAGGCACCAAGGTGAACCTAGGCGACAAGGGAGCGCTTAGTTGCCTAATCAACTAGGCACCAGCCTAGGTGTCACTTAGTGTCTAAAAAATGATAGAAAAACAAGGGGCTGATCCCCTGTTTCTACTGTAGGAAAAGAAGTAAAAAGACTGTAGCATGGAAAATATGGGGTGGAGCCCTTACACTTTCCTTTTGAACATGAAAACACAAAAAAGAAGACTAAAAAATGGTGGATATGCCCTGCTTTAGTTCCAGAAATAGGAAGAAGAAGAAGGGGCAGATCCCCTGTTTTTGTTCCAGAAAAAAGAGAAGGGGCAGAGCCCCTGTTCTTGTTCCAGAAGAAAGAGAAGGTGCTAGGACCCTGTTTTGTTTTTTTTTTCAGAAAAAGGAAGAAGGGGTGGAGCCCCTGTTTTCATTCAAGAAGAAGAAAAATAAGAAGGAGATGAACATACCTTCTGGGATTGGTTGGTGTTCTAAGACTTCAAACTTTGTATCACTCAAACTATGTTAGTCTTCTTCAGTTCTTTAATTTTTGAATATCTCAGAACCCTAATAAAATAAGCAACTAAAAATAAAAGATAATATTTTGTGAAAGAAATAATAGAACGACACAGTGTATCATGCCTATATTAATATTATACACTGAAATATAAAAAAACATGAAAACATTACAGAACTTTGTACAAGTGGTATATAAACCACTTGGTGTTTGGGCAAGGCGAGCCCCAAAAAGCGACTAGATGCCTAGGTGTTGCCTTGACAACTAAATCTTTCCGCTTTCATGTGTGTTGAAAATCTCATAGCTTCTAGAGCTAATCTTAACAAGGCTGACATACTCAGTAATATCTTTTCATGAAGTTTGGATGCATGCTATTATGAATGGAACTGATTTCTTAATTGATCTAAAGGATCTTATGCTTTATCCAATGCTAATCTTAATATCCATCTTTTTGGTAAAACCTTCAATATTAGGATATAGATTAAGTAGTAAGTCTTCCACTAAAACTTCAAGGGCGGAATCTGAACCTTAGGTTGAGTGTTGCAGAATTTGGAGATGGGAGAGAAGCTGCTTTTCAGTCAGATCTTTTACTAGATTTGGTTCCAGTTGGCATTAGCTCCTTACTCTCAGGAAGAAGAGATTGAAGTTTTCTGTTGGGAGAGTCTTATCTTGGATCTTTGGTGGATAGAGCTTTTAAACATACTTTTTTTTTTTGATAAATGAGTGGTAATTTTATTAATATGAGAAAAGTTGTACAGTCACCCTAAAAGGAGGTATGAGATGTTACCTCCCCTTAGGAATGAGGATATAATCACATTCTTAACAGAAATATACTTATAAAGTAGTCCAGAAAAATTCAACCCTTGAAACCCCTTGTTTAGCCAAAGAGTCAGCCATGGCATTTGCTGATCTGCTAACCCATTGGAAGCTTACTAACATGTTTCGTGTCAGCCACTTAACTTTCTTGAGAAGGTCTCTGTAGCCCCAGAAAACCGTATCCGGATCTGACAACCGATCTACTACCACCTTGGAGTCCTCCTCAGCTATCAAGTGCTCCACTCCAAGTTGGTTTGCAGCCTGTATTCCTTGTACTGCAGCCAGTATCTCAGCCCTTGTAGAGTCACCAACTCCCACTGATCCAGAGAATAGGGATAAGATGTTACTATCCTTATCTCTCACCTATGATTGAGGGCTCTATATTACCTTGATTCCTCCCGTCAAAATTCAGCTTTACCACTCCCTCCAGAGGATGCCACCTCTGCCCAACTTTTCCAAAGATTGTCAAAGGAATAATTCATAAAAAGGTCTGAAGTTTTCAGCCAAAGAATTGTTCTTGTCAATATGCACTCCTTTGCTTCAGCTAGGCTTCTTTCCTTGGAAAATTCTGGCATTCCTCTCCTATCAAATGGTCCATAAGATAGCTGCTCTGATGCACTTCCACATTAGTTTCCCTCTCTTTGTAGGCCACTGGAAAGTAGTTGGATCAAAAAGCAGATTTACTTCAAAGGGCAAGTTCCACCTCCACCCAAACATCATGAAAACCCAATTCCAAATATTAGTAGCAAAGGCACAAGATATCAGCAAGTGGTGACAGTCCTCACTCTTTACTTTACACAGAATACACTAGTTTGGGGATAAACACAAATAAAGTCTCTTCTTTTGCAGGTTGTCCAAAGCATTGATCTTACATTCTTACCATAATAAGCTTCCCAGTAGAAGATAGACATTTTAGGAGGTATTGGCCTTGACCAAATCTCTTTGACAGGGAACACCCCAGAGGAGGAAGAAGAACAAAGAGACTTGAAAAAAGAGGCACACGTGAAGGGTCTATTCAAAGTCAAAGTCCAAATTCTTTTATCAAGTTTAAGAGGATCCACACATAGAGTCTAGAAGTAAAAGCTTAGAGACACAGGCTGATTCTCCATCCCTTAAACCTCTACGAAAACAAAGTCCCAATTTAAAGCCAATGGGAGAACCAAGGGGGAAGGAACCTTGAAATAGACTTCTTTTTAAAGAGGGGAATAGAATAGAAAGAGGGAAAGCGATCTTTTAGGTGTTGAGTACCCACCAAAACATCCTCCCAAAAAAGAACAAAGTATCCAAAGTAGACATCATGTCTTACAAATGTGAGGAATTTAGGAAGTGTGCCAAAAATTGCCTTCCAAGGTGTTGTGAGCAAAGCCCGTCGAGGTACCCTAGCATCCTAACCAGTTTCAGATCAGTCATGAATACTATCCACCACTGCTTGCCATAATCTCTCCCTTTCTCCCAAAGGTCACCTCCAAAGCCATTTGCCTAGTAGAGCTTCATTCTTGCTAACTACATTTCCTAATCCTAAACCCCCTTCTTTCTTACTTTGGCTCACCACATCCCACCTAATCAAATGGTATTTTTTCTCTTCCCTTGGCTCCCATATAAAATCCCTCATCAATTTTTTCTATCCTTTTAACTTCCCTGTTAGGCATCCTAAAGACTGACAAAAAATATCCACTGAAGAAATCTTCCTAAACTTGGGATTGTATCGTTATGGAGAGCCAGCTTGATTGCCCTTGCTTGGAACCCAAACCCAGGTCTGCTTTACAGCTCTCAAAAGGGGTTATAATGAAGCATCCTTTTAACTTCAAATGACAAATTAGTGCAATCCTTTTCCAATTGTTAACCTGCCTCTTGACTTGGATAATATATTTGCTTTCCCATTCTTCCCTTTTAGTATATTCTATCACCCTACTCTGACGGTTCCACTTAGCCAAAGTCATTACATCTTGCTCCAAGTGCTCCTCTCTAACTGCAGTTTTTATGGCCTGTTCTTTTCTCAGAACCTCCTTTTCTATTTTTGCTAGGTGTGCTCCAAACTTTAGTAATCCACTTACCTCCTTCCAGCCTTGCCCCTATCTTCCTTCAGGGAAGCAAACCAGCTGCTTCCTGCCCTTTCCAAAAAATTCAAGAAGAGCAATGTAGGAACCTTTGGTACTTGCTATCTTCAGTCCCATACTCCTTCCAGCTTAGCTGTTTCCCTTTGATACTTGCTCTACTAAAGAAGTCCTCAACCCAGTCAATCACATCCTTGCCTTTCAATAACACAATTGCCTTCTTTGCTTCCCTAATCTTCAGACTTAGACACCCCTGATCCTTATTTCTTTGAAGAGGAACTCCTTAGTTTCAACCTTCAAGGCTCTCCTCCAACGTCTAGCTTCCAGAAACCTATTCTCTATTTTCTCCATTGTCGGTCCTGGTATAAAATAACTTCCTATTCAAAGAATGAAACCTTTCTCATGTAGTTGATCTCTTGGACCAAAGAATCATCCTAAAGACATGTTCATTCCATTTTTTTTAATGATTTTTTTGGGATGTAATTTTTGTGATTGGAGCACAAGCGGTCATTTTCTCACTAGAGAGGGGCAGGAGTAACCCAGCTGGTTGTCTTGTTCTTGTATGATGATTACAGATTAGGGGTGCAAATGGATCCAACCCAAAGTCTGATCCTATTTTGTCAAATTCGGATATCCTCATTCGAATTTTTGGATCGGATAATCAGATTGGATTTGGTTCATCCCTTATCCATCCGAAAGGATCTGATCCGATAATATATATATATATATATATATATGTCATTTATTTATTTATAAATATGTTATTTATATTGCATTTTTGTAAATTTTTTATATTATTTATTTTTTATAAAAAAAACATGTATATATATGATGAAAATAGTTGAAAAATACTTTTATTTTTTGTTTTTATTTATTTAAACTAATTATATTTTCTTTTTCTTTTAATAATTTATTAATTTTTTAAAACTTAAATCGGATAGGATCAGATTTGGATATCCGACGTCCTTATCGGATTCAAATCCGAATCAATATTTGTGAGATCAGATTGAATCTCCGGATTGGATCGGATCGGGCGTACAGTTTATCGGATCAGATTCAAATATACCCTGATTTGAATCCAATCTGATCTGTTTGCATCCCTATTACAGATTAAGCTTGAGGCTCTTTTCTTCTAGGCAATTTTGGGTGACACTAGGGTGCCTAGGCAATAAGAATTTTGTAATATAAAGAACTAGCTTTTGGCTAGTTCCCTAGTTTTATATTCCATTCATCATGCATATTATTTAAAAAGATAGCAATTCTCTTTATTAAAAACATTAAATTTCCTCCAAAGATGTGGCAAATCATCATAACTAAAATATAAAAATCTTTTAAATATATTAATTTCATTATTTCCAAAAATAATACTACTATAATAAGTATTTAATAGAGCAATTTCATATCAATTAGCAACTAAAGAAGGTTATTAACTTTATATGATAAAAACTGAAGATGGAAAATAAAATAGAAAAAAAAGGATGCAGTTGCTGTTTTATTTAGTTGAAGAGAGAGAGTAGAAAAAAATAAACTTCTCTATACTTCTATTCTTTCTTTCTTTCTTTCTTTTTCTCTCCTCAAAACCTTTTGATCTTTTAAATTTCAATTGTAAAACATTAAAACAAGTATAAATGATATACTTATAATAGAATGTATTCACAAATATTAATAAAATACAGAAACATGAATGATATTATAACAATGCACCTGCCTTTGTCATTTTTGTCGCCTAGGTGAGCGCCTAGTCACCTAGACAAGTGCCTGCCTTGACAACTATGCCTATTATTTAGGTTTTTCTAAGCATGTTATGCCAGATTTTTATTAAATGAGGACATCTTTTTAAACTTGATACCATCTACGGGTTGATCATAGCAGAATGTTAGCTAATGAATCTGAGATTTCAGAAAAATTTTAATGCAGCAACATAAATGATATTATAACAAGGCACCTGCCTTGTCATTTTTGTCACCTAGGTGGGTGCCTAGTCACCCAGACAGGTGCCTGCCTTGACAACTATGCCTGTTATCTAGGTTTTGCTAAGAATGTTAAGCCAGATTTTTATTAAATGAGGACATCTTTTTAAACTTGATACCATCTACGGGTTGATCATAGCAGAGTGTTAGCTAATGAATCTGAAATTTCAGAAAAATTCTAGGCAATACTTGTCCTTATTTGGATCCCTTCCTCCTCGGGTACTTTCTCTTGTGCTTCGTTTTTTGAGACCTTAATTCAGCCTCCTATTCCTCTTGGGTTGTCCTTCCCGGTTAAAGAAATTTGGAGAAAGCCCATTCCTCCTTGGGTTGGTAGTTTTTGTTGGGAAACTTTCCTGGAAAGAGTTAACACAAATGACATGCTTCAGAAAAAGAGACCCAATTCTTGTTTACTTCCTAATAGGTGTGCTCTCTGTAAAGTTGATGGGGAAACTGGTTACCACCTTATGGTTACTTGTTCGGTTGCTAAAACTGTTTGAGAGTGGGCTTTCTCCCTTTTTGGGTGTATTTGGAATCCCCCCGTGAGCGTGCAAAGTTTGTTCTCTCCTTTGTTTTTCAGATGGACTAAGAAGAGAGGGAAGATTATGTGGAGAAGCATTAGGGCAGCAGTGTGTTGGTCCCTGTGGGAAGAAAGAAACTCATGATTTTTTTTTTTTCAGACAAGGAAAGAACCTTGGAAAACTTATTAGATCTTGTACTCTTAAGGGTAGCCCACTGGCTGAAATCTATGGAGCTGTTCTCAATTTATTCCGTGACTGACTTGTTAAGAAATTGGAAAGAGATAACTACCTCTACCCAATGTAAGAGGACTCTTAGCCCCTCTTGGCCCCCTCCCTTTGGAATCATAAAACTGAATTTTGATGGTAGTAGCTTAAGGAATCCAGGGCCTTCTGTGATTGGGGGAGTGTTCAGGAATGAGGATGGGATTATTACTGCCATGTTTTCAGGTCCAATTGGAGAAGGAGACTCTCTTAAGGTTGAGATTCTTGCAGTTCTGGAAGGAATCCAAAGAGCAAGAGAACTGAACATTAGACGTTTGGTCCTTGAAGGTGACTCGGAGGTGGTGATTAGATGTCTAAAGGAAGAAAACATTGGTTTGTGGAGCTACAGCAATGAAAGGAAAAAATTCAATTGGCTGAGTAGGGACATTGAGGTGCAATACAGCTGGGTGAAGAGGATTGCTAACTCATTTGCAGATGGGTTAGCCAAGCAAGGGGTGAGTAGGGAATCATTGTTTTGGGCTAATTTTTAATTTTCTTCCATTGTATTCTGTTGGTGGGGAGTTAAGACATTTTACCTCCCCCTTTTGTAATTAAAGTTTCACAAAGCTTCACATCATTATTAAAGTTTATTGTTATTGATAAAAAAAAATGTTGTCTTTGTCTTCATGTTGGATAAAAAAGAAATGTTGTCTTATTAATAATTTTATGTTTTATTTTCATTTCTAGCCCTCTGTTTGTTCTTAATTTGATTCTTAGTTGACTTCTTTGTCAACAGACAATAGAGAGTAGCCCGTGTGGTGAAAACAGTGAAGGGGAAGCAGTAAGCTTGTCACAATTGGTATATTTCTGAGGCTCCTACTTGGTGCCTTGTAAAATTGCCTAATTGTAAACTTCTCTTAGATCTATATTTCTTTAGCTGTGGTTTAACGATCCTAGTTTATACTTTATAATGATATCTATCATGCAAACATTATCATGGATTCCTTATATCTTTTCTTTATTTTACTTATATTTGCAGAACCTCATCGATCTGGCAGGTTCTGAGAGTTCCAGGGCTGAAACTACTGGTGTGCGGAGAAAAGAAGGATCATACATCAATAAAAGCTTGCTGACACTAGGAACTGTGAGATCTCAAGCATTGTTATGATGATAGAAGTATTCATATTTGGAACTCAGGACATTATTAAAATCCTTACATGGCATATGATAATTTGATTATTGAGCTCGAGTCATAGTTACACATGCTTCCTATTTATTATGAACATTTTTTTGCTTGGTAACAACTATACGTGAACATTAATAATATAAAAACAGAAACTGTTACGCATAATAAGAATTAAAAACAAAATCTCAACACTCCCCCTCAAGTTGGGTATATATGTTAATCATTTCCAACTTACCTAAATTTTAACAACACCCTTGGTAAAGATATTAGCCACCTGCATATCAGAGGTAACATGAGGTAAGAGAATTTCTTTAAATGCAATTTTTTTCTCTAGTAAAGTGCTGCTCAACTTCAATATGTTTTATCTGATCATGCTGTGTTGGATTATGCGCAATGTTGATAGCTTCTTGCTTATCACAATACAACATCAATGGCTTCTCAAAATCAATATCCAATTCTTCAAGCAATGATTTCGGCTACAATTCTTTAGGGTTTAGAAACACCATGAGTCATAGACAAATATTCATCTTCTACACTGGAACAAACAACATCAAGATACTAAATTACCACCAAGGAAAGCACAATAATATTGATGTAGGCCTTTTGTTATCAGTGTGTTCTACCCAATCTGCAAAAGTGTATACTACTACTTTATATGTTCATGGCTGCTATATAAAATTCTTTTTCCTAGATGTTTCTTTAGAGAGACAAGAGTTCTATCAATTAAAGCAAGATAGTACTCCTTGGGGCATGCGTATATTGATTAACAACACCGATTGCATATATATTAGGTCTAGTCATACAAAAATAAAACTGTAAAGATATAGAGTGATTCCTCAATGGGACTATCCTTTTGTTGTACATTTTTTGTACCATATCTTTCTCTTCTCTATTGTATATTATGTATCTTTTTGTAAAGGGTACAGTTGTCCTTTCACTATTTTATTGAGTTTAATATAAATTTCAATTCTGGGCATGTGAGTTGTACACACCTGACTCAAACCTAAGTCTTTTGAACTGCCTGACATGGTACCAGAGCAGGTTCGATTCCTCTTCCTGTAAACACAGCTCTTATTCTTGGTCAACAAGACTACAAATAAGGATTTCGGATCGAGCATTTGGACCTGCTACAAGTTCCTTTTTTGTGGCCATTTCAATCAGGACAAAGGGGACTGTTCTTTCTGAGAAAGACATCGTTCAGATTAGTTATCTCTCTGTTTCTCTCAATTGGCTATCTTGTTAGGGCTGAAACTTCACACCTTGTGTCATCCTGACCTGTTTGACATTCCTACAAATTTTAATATTGATGGGACAGGTTTTCGCAGGGTTTTGATCCCTTTCTTTGGTGCGACAGACCTGTTTCCTGCATTTTCTCGGCTCTGGAACTGCTGGAACTCATATATATTGGTGGTCTCTAATCTCTTTGTGAGTTTCATTCTTTCTTTCAACTTCTGAGATAGAGAAGTCTGATATCTTGCTTGTCAAGTTTGATGGAACTAACTACGCACTCTGGAAGTTCCATTTTTAGTTCTATGTTGAAGGGAAAGATCTCTAGGGACATATGGATTGTACAACTGAAAAGCCAAATGGGACTGATACTGAGAAATTGCATACATGGAGGATTAACAATGCAAAGGTCGTCTCTTAGATTCTTAGTTCCATCACTACAGACATTGTGATCCTAATGTGTGGCTTTCAGACGGCCAAGGAGATGCATTTGTACTTGGAGAAGGTATATCAGCAGTCCAACCTTTCCCGTTAATACCAGATTGAGACTGAGATATTTTTGTATTGTCAGGGAGAAAGGAGAATTCAAAAGTTTTATGCTGGTTTTGTGAACCTCTAGACAGAATATGAGTTGGTACATTTTGGTGAGTCTTTGTCTGCCTGTTGCATTAAGGCTTTGAAAGAGCATTTTGACAATTGAAAGGTTATGCATTTCTTAATGCATTTGAGGCTTGATTATGGGATTATAAGGGCAAATGTTCTTATTTTGGGAGAATTACTGAGAGAAGAAACCTGTTTGGTTACTCAATCTACTATCAATGGAAAATTTGATTTTGGGTTATAGATGGTTTTCCTTGCAAACAGGCCTAAACAGAAGAGAGATTTATCCAAAGTGCAGTGCTATGAATGTAAGGAGTATGGACATGTCTCTCATTGCAAGGAGAGAAACTTGCTCACCTATTGCAAACAACAAGGACATATAATTGGTGAATGTCCAACACTGATGGTGATTAATATAGGACAAGTGGACAGGATTTAGAACAAGAAGTGGCAGCTTATGCAATTCAAGTTCTGGACCTGAATTTGGAGGCTTAGAGAATAGAGAGTTTTGGGCCAGCTTTGTGGACCTTGAGCTACTTAGTGATTTGGGCCTCTAAGTGGTTGGGTTTGATGACCCAAAAGCCCACAGAAGCAGAGCCACCAACACAGGCCCATTCGTTGCTCAGCAGGTCTACACTTCAGGCCTAGTTCGAAGAGAAGAGGAAGCTGGGTACAAACCACCTATCAAGTATGTGTACTCCAGGAAGTCCACATCAGCATAGAGTTATTACAGGTTAACCTGCACAGGGAGTGTAGAGCACCCCTTGTAAGGAAACTATAAAAGCAATCAGATGAGGAACTCTCGACAGAGCATACAAAGCAATCAGATTGAGTTGTATCAATTGGTATCAGAGCCTCGCACTGATGCTGCAAACTAGATCAGCAGCGATGAAAGAGAGAGTCGATCGCCTTGAGGTCGACCTTCATAAGGTCACCGGAAAGTTAAAGGACATTAAGGAAGTGTTGTCGGTGGTGGCTTCTAAAATTGAGCACATGTCGGCTCCAGAAATCCGGAACAGTGAACAGGAGGCTTCTAGTGACAGCAGTGCTCAACAAGGTGGATGGCCGGGAGTCAGAACGACCAAGGTGGAGTTCCTAGTTATCTCAGGTGAGGATCCCATACCATGTCTCTATTGTGTAGAACGGTACTTTGAATTCCATGAGATACCAACTGCCCAAAGAGTGTTAATGGCTTCGATGCATCTTGATGGTGAAGCCAGTCTTCTACCAATGGTACTGAAAATCCCACCCCTAATTGGCCTAGATTGACTTCGTGGAAGCCTTGTGCATACAATTTAGCCCCTCTGGCCATGGCTCTACCGTGCATACGATTTGGCCCCTCTGTGGTGAACCCACTTTGACAGAGCTTTGGCCAAGTTAAGACAGATCAGAACTGTTAGAGAATACCAAGTTGAATTTGAGAAATTGGCCAATCGAGTTCATGGATGGCCAAAGAAGGCCTTAGTAGGTAGCTTTATTGAAGGACCGAGGGATGACATTCGGGTTGAGGTCAAGGCCATGCAACCCACATCCACCTTATCTGTGGTGGGTCTGGCTAAGATACAGGAAGAGAGGCTACACTGTTTAAAGAAAATACCCCGACCCATGGGCCCTATTCTAAAGACCCCTCCACCTAGGGCCCGAGCCTAGCTGAGTAAAGGCCTTTACCCCTAGACCCCCTGTTATCCCCTACAAGAAACTTACCTAGAAGGAGAAGAAAGCCTGCAAAGAGAAGGGGCTTTGTTACAACCGCGATGAGCAATTTGTTCTAGGCCACCGTTGTAAGGCCCAACAATTTTACTTGCTCCAGTTAGATGATGAGGATGAAGAACCCGGTCAAACCGAAGGGGGAGAAGAAAGAGAGCCTAATGGTGACGACCAAGGGGCTGACTAGTATTCCATTTCACTTCAGGCCTTGGTCGGAGTGGGTTCACCACAGACCATGAGTTCATGCGCCAATTGAAGGGCCGATGGGTGTCGGTTCTGATTGACAATGGCATTGCCTATCCACGTGGCCAACGGGAGCTGAATTCAATGTGGTGGCATTTGTAGAACCCTACCCCTTAAGTTACAGGGGCACTCATTCCCACTTTCTTTCCCCTTGTCTTTTCTTCCATTTTCTTTCCTTTTCTGTTTTTTTCTTCTCTTTCTTTTTCTTTCCCTTCTCTTTCTTTTCCTTTCCTCTCATTTTTTTTCTTTTTTCTTTTTTTTTTGTCTTTTTATATAAGATGTGCATGAGGCGTACGCCTCTTACACATCCAGGTGTCAGCGCCTCTGGCATATGCCTCAAGACGTTTTGGGAGCACTTCCAGGCGTATGTCTCCCACGCCTTTTAAAACACTGGTTTTATGTGACTGGACCACCTTGACCATGGACTTCAACATAGAAGTCCGGAAGGTTTGACTTAGAGGTACAAAACCATAGGAAGCTAAGGGGGAGACACTTAAAAATTTAATGAACGGTTGCAATTAAATGGGCTACCCCACCTTCATGTACCTGGGATCAATGACAACTGGGCCTAACTTGCTCTCAGGCCCAAATACATCAAACACCCTAGTTCAACAGAACCAACTAAATCAGCTCTTACAATCATATGCCGAGGTGTTCCAAGAACCCACTACCCTTCCACCTGCTCGTGCCCATGACCATAGAATAGAATTACAGCTGGGGGCCCCTCCAACCAATGTTAGGCCTTACTGGTACCCCCATTACCAACAGGGGGAGATAGAGAGAATGGTCAACGAGCTTCTCAACAGAGGTTTTATTCAACCCAACAACAACACTTACTCCTCAATCCTACTAGTAAAGAAAAAAGGACGGTACCTGGGGATTTTGCGTTGACTACAGGGCACTAAATCAGATCATAGTCAAGGACCAATTCCCTATACCACTTATAGAGGAATTGTTCGATGAATTGGGTCAGGCCATATACTTCTCAAAGCTAGATCTGAGGTCGGGATATCACTAGATTCGGGTCTACCCCTCTGATATCCATAAAACAACATTTCGGGCTGCAGATGGACAGTACGTGTTTGTTGTTATGCTGTTTGGCCTCACGAATGCACCATCCACCTTCCAAAGACTAATGAATTATGTATTCAAGCCATTCTTGCGGCGATTTATTCTCGTAT